CCCCACCCGAGATCCCGGTCAGACCCTAAGGAGCAGGTCCAGGCACTTCCCCTGTAATAAATATCTAGCAGTCTCCATACCCCGTGGACCCTCCCGTGGATTGTAAAGTTTGTCCATTCTTGGGAGGAACCTAATATTAAATTGAAATAAGCCGTTGGTGAAAGACAAAAGCTACTAGGTCAGGAAACCTAGTAGATCTGGCTCAGTGGGCGGGACCCGAAAGCACGTTGAGCTGCCAGTCTCACACTGAACAGAAGAGGGCGCTGTTATCCAGGATAAACTAGATAAGCGGCATATTTAGCTCACATCCCAACTGGCACATGATTGAGTCTTTTCTTTCTGCAAATATCCGAGCAGCTCACCCAGGCAGGGAACACCCGTAAACAAAAACACTTGGCCTGGGCTCATGGGTGTATGTCTGAGGGTGCTGCCGCTTCCCTTGACTTTGTCAGCAAAGCCTGGCCCTAAGGGGGAACATATGGGAGCATCACATCCTATGACATCCTTAATAACAGACTTTTTTAAAAAATAAAATAAATTTTAATTATCATGCAAGTTATTAGATATTATTATGGCATTTTGAGCAAAGTGTTTTAATAGATTTTTCTCCCTTGTCTGAGTTTGGATCGTCTCACTTAATATTATACTTCCCAGATCCTTCCATTTTCCTACAAATGTCATTTTTCTTTACAGCTTAATCATATCTCACTGTGTAGATGTCCTGCACATAACACATATCACACTGCCATTACCTAATAAGTCTTAATGTATCTCAATGTACACACCCCGTCTGCCTCCTCCCTCCTATCAGTTAGTGTCTGTTGTAAATAATCCTGCCACAAAGCATGAAGAGTTGCCTTTTCAGATGTCCGCTCTTTATTCTTTCTAATATATACCCAGAAATGGCATTGCTAGAGCCTATGGTAATTTTTTAACTTAAATTAAAATGTTTAAGTATTTACTTATTGAGACAGGGATTCTTTGTGTATCCTTGGCTGTCGTGGAACCAGCTCTGTAGACCAGGCTGGCCTCCGACTCAGATCCAACTTTCTCTGCTTCCCAAATCCTGGGATTAAACCCATGTGCCACCACCATCCGGCTTAAATTTTTTATTTTAGTAATTATATTTTGATTACCTCTTTGTGAATTTAATACAACATGTCGTGCTCATGTTAAATGCTCACTCTTCCCCCTGAATTCCTCCCAGGCCCCACCCCTTCTCCTTACCCCTCACTTCATGTCCACTTTTTAAAAAAGAGACTACCTTGCAGCAGATGCCCTGGTCCTCTGGCACTTACACTCTTTCTGCCTCTCTTCTGTGATGTTCCCTGAGCCCTAAGTGTAGGGGTTGTGCTGTAAATATGTTAACTGAGGACTGTACTCACAGCCAGTTACTCTCTGCGTTTTGAGCACTTATGGCTTCTTGTGATGGTCTCTATCGGGTGCAAAAAGAGGCTAAGGATAGATATTTAGAATACAGTTAGGAATTAAGATTCCATGGCATCAACCCATTACAGATAGTTGGCTAAATTTACAGTATCAGGCATGAATTGAACAGGTCTTAAGTCCAATTTGGTGGTTGTTGGTAACTGCCAGGATATAAGCATTGCTTCTGTGCCTTTGAAATGTCTTGCTGTGATGGCCATTGTGGTTCATGGACATTGTAGCCAGAGAGGACTACTGACTGCTTTCCTCCCTTAGTAGCTTACATTACTCCTTCCAGTACTGAGAGCCAGCTCTAAGGGAGGAGGGCTCCAGGCCAGATCTCGATAGATTCCTCCAAGTCCTGTTGCTGAAATGTGAAGCATCTTTGGCAATAGCCTCTTTACTTCTTTCTCTGGAAGGCACCAGAAATGGCAATAGCCTGCTTTGAGAGTCTATTAGATTCTTTGGACTAACAACTTAAAAGAAGGCTTCCCAGGCCTGGCATCAGGGGTTTTGTAAGATGGTTTATGGTTTGGGAGGAAGTACAGTCACCCTAAGTAATGTACCCTCAATTAAATTATATATGTACACACACACACACACAGCCTATATTATATGTAATTTGTGTAACCATAAAATAATAGGACTCCCTATGGATTTTTTCAACTATCCTTAGTATTATTTAGCTTTCCTTATCCCCTCTCCCTCTGTGTAGCCCTCATTCCCTGTCCCCAGGTCTGGGATGCTTCTTATTGTTGTCAGGTGAAATGTTGCACAAATAACATGTTGTTCCAGTCAGCAAAAAGTATTGCTCAGGTCTGTGTCTTATCTCATCAGCATTCCTTACTACCTGTTTCCTTGTTCTATTATCTATGGAGAAAGGAGTGTTCAGTTCACAGAAGAAATAGGAGGGACGTCTATTTGTTCTTTTAACCTTACTGGTTCTTGAATCATATTATTTGAAACTGTGTTATTAGAAAAATATACATTCCAAATTATTCTGTGCTTGGGAGATTTGACACATTTACCACCGTGGACTGTTTCTCTTCATTCCTTGTTAATCTGTTTTTCCTAGCATTGATATAGCCAGTACAACGTCCTTTTGGCATTTATGTGGTATCACAATCATTTCACTTTCATCTATGGCTTTACAGTTTAGGTTTTTTTGGGGGGGGTTGTTTGTTTGTTTGTAGACAGGATTTCTCTGTTCAGTTCTGGCTGTCCTGGAAATCACTTTGTAGATCAGGATGGCTTTGAACTCACAGATATCCACCTGCCTCTGCCTCCTGGGTGCTGGAATTAAAGGCATGCACTGCCACCTCCCTGTTATTTTTTAGCTTTTTAATTAGATTTTTTTGCAGATATGCATTTTTTTTTAAATACAGGGTCTTCTAGCCTAGTCTTGCCTGGAACTTGCTATCTATCTTTCCAGACTAGCCTCAGACCTATAGCAACAGTCTGCCTGCCTTAATCTCCCAAATGCTGGTATATATAATGTACATGAGCCACCATATGCAACTAGATTTTGAGTTTTTTTGTTTGTTTTGCTTTTTTGAGACAGGGTTTCTCTGTGTATCCCTGGCTGTCCTGGAACTTGCTCTGTAGGTCAGACAGGTTTTGAACTCAGCGATCTGCCTGCCTCTGCCTCCCATGTGCTGGGATTAAAGGCTTGTACCATCACAGTCTGGATAGTTCTTGTGGTCTGAAAAACTCAGATCTACATTTAATTTGCATATTGATGTGGCTGGATTAATATCTACCATCTTGCTATTTTCTGTTTATTCCATCCTTACTGTCTTCTTGTGTAAACAATGTTTTATGATTCAATTTACCAATTCACTTGTTATTTATATCTTTACATTTTTTATTGGTTACCCTTGGCCTCATGTGTCCTTAATTAATGAGGCTAAGTTTAAATTATTTCATACCATTTAAAACTGTGTTGTAAGGATTTTGTATAATGGTTTGATCCAATTTCTCCTGTTCTTAAGGTTAGAGATAAAAAATATTTTAAAAGATAGAAAACACAATGCCTGGAAAACTCATAATTCAGAAAGTACAGGGTACATTATTTACATGGACTTATTTAAGAAATACAAAACAATTAGGCCTAAACCAAATTCTCGCAGATCCACCTATCAAATCTTAACAGCGAGCTCATAAGGATTGAATTCTTTCCAAATGCCTTAGTTGTAGGTCAGAACAAATTGTTACCCCCCCCCCAATAAACATAGTGATCCAAAAATATCTGGAAAATAGTTGACTTTCAGACTTTGACAAGAAATAAACAGACTAGCCTCCATCATCCTAGAGAGAAAACAATGACCTGGAATTTTAAAAACCCTGTAATTGTGAGGCTGTTTTCAAAGAAAACAAGGTCTAAATGCAAACACCTAATTGTCCAAATAGGAGCAATCTGGGAGAATTAGCATCAGTCCAGTGTGAACTGAAACGAGGGAGATCTTAGGATAGAATTAGCGTCAGTACAGTCTGGACTGGAGCCAAGGAGATCTTAGGGTAGCAGCAGAAGCAGCAAGGAAAGAAAGAAGGGTGGGTCCTGTGGGTTGGGATGATCATGGTAACAGCTCTGAGCATCCTGTGATGATGTTGACACTTAAGAGCTCTGAGCATCCTACCATGAAATGACACCGTTTGAGAGTTTTGAACAGGCAAGCGATGTGACCATATTTCTGCCTTATGCTGGTCATGACTGGGTGGACATTTGAATCCAGGGAAAAGCAGTTTCCTGGTGTTTTCTCTGCTCTTGCTTCTCCGGAAGCCCACACCAGTCACACCTGTATTGCTTCACAGGTCTTTTATACCAGTCCAGGTTCTTGGTTAAGTGGTACACCTAGGGCCAGATAGGGCCAGTAGTTAGGGACTATCAAAAGGGGAAGATTTAATGGTGGATTTCAGAGAATATAACCATGATCCACATTTGGGAGTTCCCAAAAGTGGAATTTTGGAGAGCAGATTTTGGAACAGAACAAGTAGGGTTCTTTCAGTGTTTAACACTGATCCATAATATTATAATATTATTATATATATATATTATATTATAATATTATAATATGTTATAATATTATTCCAGGAGTGAAGATTTCCTTCTATTATCAGTGTCCAGACTGCACCTGACCTGGGCTGCAAGCTAGGAACTCAGAAACCTGGAAGTCTTTCATAGCATCTCCATCTGCTTCCCTGGACACGGAGTGAAACTCAAGGCCTTTCGGTATTTCTAATGCAGTATGCAGAGGATGAGGACCCTGAGTGAACACATCACACAGCACTGAAGAGTTCACACTTGGATGGGCGGTGTGACTGGCTTTGTGGCTTGTTTGCCATTTCTCCAGGCAAAGTTCAATGTCCTGCGATGGACTATTGTGAGGATTAAAGGATTACTCAGGAAAGGACCTCATCAGAAACAGAAGATTTCATGAGCCGTGGCATACTAAATATGTAAAACTCTTGGGATCAGGACTGAGATTGGCCATGTTTACCATTTACATAGCTACATTTACAGATGTAACATTCGCCATGCAAATAACACTTTGGTGTCCTGCTGTTCACCGAGTCAAGATAGCCGCACCTGTGCTTCAAGGCAGCCCAGAACCCATGCTCTCCACGTGACTCAACTTCTAGCCTGTGCGGTTCCTCATTATTGTTTCCTGGTGTGTGCTCTGCTTTTGTTTCTCCAGGAGCCCAGACCAGTTACACCTGTACTGCCTCCCTGCCTCCCCTCCAAGGTCTCACAGGCCCTCCTTGCCAGCTCAGACTTCTTGCTAAAGTGGGCACACCCAGGGTCGGGAGATAGAGCTGTTGCCTTGCTAATTAAAAGCCCTGGAGTTCCTTACTGGCTCTCAGTGCCTGCTGATGCAGCTGCGGCCAAAGCTTTGATTCCAGAGACAAGAAGGTCTTCAGGACAAAGGTAATTTCTGCTATTTAGAGCCTTCTTAGGGAACCTTTCACGGCTTTCTGTCTAGTTCTGTGTGCTTCTGGAGGCCTTGACTCAAGGTACTAGGTATTGGGGGAATTAAAGTTGCTTATAATAAAAATGCTGCTTGCAATTTGCTTATTCCCTGCTTAAAGACAACTTTCAAGTGAGATGCTGAGGGTCCTGGACAGGGAGGTGCCTCCCTGGATGAAGAGTAAAGGAATACAGATGCCCGGGGAACTCCCAGCTTATAAGCATGAAGTGTGGTGACCCATTGTCCATGGGGAGAGCTAGAACAGAGGTGGAGAACACACCCTGCTTTTCTCTCTCTAGTGATTCAACGCACAAGAAGGCACCTGGAGTGATGGAACTTCCTCACCATCCAGATGTGGTGGTGGATGACGTTTCAAAGCCATCATCTCTTGGAGACCTAGGACCACACCAGTCACTAAAGGGCTGGAAGTTTCCACTCAGGGCTTGCTGGCCTTGAAATGTTCTGTATAGGTACATTTTGACACATTAATCTGGATGCTAAAAAAATGGCTTAGTGCTTAAGAGCGTTTGCTGCTCTTGCTGGGGACCAGGGTTCACCCACACTGGGCAGCTCACAACTGTCTGTAATTCCAGTTCCAGAGTATCAAATTTCCTCTTCTCATTATACAGGCACTGGGCACACACTTGGTGCACATGCACACAGACAAGCAAAATACTCATATACATAAATACAATAGATAAGTCATTAGGATATTTTAATGTGAATATGGGGTGAGGGCTTAGGGAAGCTCTTACTAAATGCTTTCCATAAAATTCTAGGAGATAAGAGAAGAATATTTTTCTTTTCCCTTTCTTTCTCAGGGCCAGGCAACAATGGATTCTTCTTCACAATCTAGTGAATTTTTTCTTCCTCAAGAAAACTCTGAAGAAGCCAAAGAAAGTAAGTGTGAATCACAAACCAGTTTGGACCATCTCCATTTGCTCTCACTGAAGACAATAGGGTTGTGTAGCACAAATAATAATAAAAAAAAACCCAGAGACAGGTATTGGGGTTCAAGCTGGAGATCAGAAAACATAAAGCAGTCAGCCAGTAGCTCTTACCTCTACCAGTGCTGAAGTAGAGATCCTGACTTCCCTGTGACTGGAAACTGAATCTCACATGAGACCCTTTCCTTCTTCCTTATGTACCTCTCTAGTGCTGGGATTAAAGACATGAACTCTGTTACTCTTTAGAATGATTCACTCTCTTGCAGCCCTGGATGGTCATGAACAAGCAGAGATCCATCTGTCTCTGTCCCTTGAGTCCTGGAATTAAAGGTGTGTACTACTACTGCCTGACCTCTGGCTAGAGCTAGTGTGGCTAGCTTTGTATTCTGATCCCCAGGCAGGCTTTATTAAATCATAAACAATATACCACCACAATTCCCTATGTTATTAAAACATCTTAAATGCCATATTCTGTAGATCTCTGAAGCTTTTGAAGACTACCTGTTTATCTAAAATGTATCTCTGTTTGACTTTGATAACATGCCTAATATGACTATAAGTTCAATTTTAATAGGTGACTAATTGCTAACCTGCATTTTCTCATTATTCTACATAGTTTGTAATAATAATGTTCAAGGACTAGAAATTTGCATTACATTGTTAAATGGGCTGTATAGGTACAATACCTTGAACAAGATTAGAAAGATATGTATGGTATGTTTTAACAAAATTAATCTCAACTTTGTATCAATGTACAAAATTTGTATACAATATGCAGAAGTCCAATCTAATGTAAAATATTTGAAAGTTGCTTTTTAGAAGTGGATTCAATAATCTACCTTCTTATCTTATATTTATATCCTCCCTTTTTTCTTTTCAGAGTAGATTCAATCATCTACCCTTTTATTCTATCATATCTGTATTCCTTTTTTCTTTTCAAAACAAAAACCTTTAATATCCTTTGTTTAGCTGTTTTTCCTGACCATTACCAATAACAACTTGTAACCAATCCTCCTAGACAACAACAAATATCTATAACCTATTGAATGACTGAAAACCACATACCCCATCTCTTGGAAGTGTGAGGATCATGTTTTTAAAGTTACATCCTGCTATCTGGGGGCCACATCATCTTTAGGGGATCCTGAAAAGAAAAATTTGGGCTAATTGTCAAGTCCTGGAAGAGGTAGCTGTATCATTTGTTGTTCAGTCTCTACGTAATGGGAAAGCGCAGGGTTTGTCTCAAGTCCTGGCTACAGTAGTATGCGAGGCTGAATCACCAACTGGCCACCTTGAAATAGCCCTGAGAAGTTTGAAGTCCAAAACTGATATTCAGGTGGTGTTTTTCAGATTAGCCGCATTGTCACAGTCCTGGTGGAATCATCATTGTAGGGCTCCCTCTTGTTTTTGGATACTTCATAGATTGCATTAGGTCAGATTATTTCTTTTCTTAGTAATTTTTTTCTAGGTTGTTCTCCCTTCTTCTTTAGATGCTTATTTGCCCAAAGGTCTTTAAATTCTTCAAGATATTTGGTTTTTGTTTTTCCTGAAAAGACAAAAACAAAACACTTTCCCAACCCTAACTTTGTGGAGTTTCCTAATCTAATCTTTATCAATTTTGATTTATGATTTCTTCTGAAATTTTTGTTTTAGCTTCTAAGCTCTTCTATCATCCAGAGCAGTATGTTTTTTATTTTTTTCATTAGGCACTAGGTTCTTTAGTTGCTCCGGGAAGGAGTTTCCACATTGACAGGAAATGACTGAACCAGGTTTGGCATAGGGGCCTGTGAGAGGCCCCTCAAAGAGTTTCCCAAAGAAATGTTACCTTGAACATTTCTTGCTGATCTACATTCATTAGTCCAATGCCTGCCTGTGCCACATCTTCTGCTTAATCCAGAAGGGAGGGGTGTTCTGTTTGGGATTATGCTTAGAAAAAGCATTGTTTCTAGGAAAGTTCTGTTTATAATATCTTTTAAGGTGCATTGTTTGCCACAATTGAGACATTTGACATTTTGATTTTATCCACGCATCGTCATGGTCATGAGCTTCAACATTAATTGCATCTTGGACCCATTCCTCCAAAGGTGCTGACCTTGCTTTTAAAAGCCTAATTATCTGTTTGCATTGCGCATTAGCATTTTCAAAAGCTAGAGATTCAATTATTATTTGTCTAGCTTCTGAATCTGGTAGCATTCTATTTACTGCTGATGCCAATCTTTGTAAGAACTCCATGAAGTTTTCCTTTGGACCCTGTCTTACTTTAGTAAATGATTCAACTTTCTTTCCTACTTTGCCAATTCTGTCCCAAGCATTCAAAGCTGCTGCATGGAATAAAACCAAGTTGTGGTCACCATATAGACACTGCTTTTCTAAAGTAGCATAATTTCCTTTTCCAAGAAGTTTATCTTGGGAAATATCCATGCTTCCAGCTTTAACCCATTGTTCAATAGTCTTAGCCTCTTCTCTGAGCCAGGTAGTCCATTGCAATTGTGGACCAGGCTCTACAACAGCTTTAACCAAATCTATCCAGTTTGGATAATGCTAATACAAACTGACCACATGTTTATCATCTGCTTCACCAATGGTGAATGCATGCCATATGAAACTACTGTTTCCTTGAATTTCCCTAAATTTAACATTGTCACAGGCATTCAGTTAACTCTTACAGAACCTATATCGTTTGGCACTTCCTGTATGGTTACTGGATATATTAAGGTTGGTTTTTCTTAAGACCTTAGACTGTTCCTCTCTAACTTATAAAGCAATGCTGAGACTGGTTCTCCTTTATGTTCCTCTGTCTGGGTTTGAATATCTCTGTGATATGCTTTAATAAATTTTCTTAGTTCCTCATCTTGGCACTCATATCAACCAACTTTTTTAGAGATAAAACAGGAATTATCAAACTGACAACAAAGACTGTCAAAATGATAATTGACAACATGTCAATCCCTTGATTAAGTTGGTTATCCCTTCATTTACTTGTTCCAATTTTGAACCATCCATTGTGTAATCATACAGAGACCTAATTCTCTCCCATTGTAATAGTGTTTCCTATTTTTAATGTGGGAAAAGAAACTCTTTCAACTAATTCCTTTCTTTAAGAATTTGCATTTGTCTCACCCATTGTGCTGTCAATGACAAGTCAGATGAGGATAAAGTGTGAAGTGTCTGCTGTTGCACAGAACGGTAGAAACCTGAGCTGCTTTTAGAGCAGCTACCTTGTTTGGCAGCATCCTGAGATGGGGGTCCAGGGAGTCCAGGGAAAGTCCACAACTCACTGGGAGAAGAGAAACCCAACAGCCACATACCTACATGGGGAAATGTCTGAAAGCAGCTAACTCCTGCAGCTTTGGAGCCCAAAAGCCTGCAGAGTTTGCTACAGAGAGGCTGCAACAGATAAATCCTAGACCAGCTCAGAGACTTGGGGGAGAAAACAAAAGTAAACCTAGTTAGCCAGGCAGGGACTCCAGTGGGAGCTCCATGTGCAGCTCTGGCATGGGCCTGGTGGCTTCAAAGCCACAGGCAAGCAGCTTTTCCATGAATTCGTACCTTTATGTCGGAAACCAATTTGGTAATATGAATGATAAAAACCCAGAGATTGGATTCAAGCTGAAGATCAGAAAAGCAAAGCAACCAGCCAGTAGCTCTTACCTCTACCAAGACTGAAATAGGGATTTTGTCTTCCCAGTGACTGGACAATAAATCTTACATGAGACCCCTTGCTTCTTCCTTATATACCTCTCTAGTGCTAGGATTAAAGGAATGAGCTCTCCTTTTCTTTTAGGCTGATTCACTCTCATGTAGCCCTGGTGGTCTTGGAGTCACAGAGATCCATCTGTCTCTGTTCCCGGAGTCCTGGGATTAAAGGTGTGTACCACTGATGCCTGGCCTCTATGGCTAGCTAATGTGGCTAGCTTTGCATTCTGATCCCCAGGAAAGCTTTATTAAATCATAAACGATGTATCACAACAGAGTTGAAGGGGCCTGTTTCACTTTCTTAATCAGAAATCTATTTGCTCTGTCTGAAATACTCAGACACCTACATATTGACACCTCAAGGCTCTTAGCTCTTGCCTTAATAGTTATATTTAGAATTGCTTGTTCCTTTGCCAATTCTAGCAAGTCATAGATGGGGCAGACATTAGGGTGGGCCAACCAAAGGCCCAGGTTGTGGGTCTGGGTGGTAGCTGAGCTGGTTGTGTCTGGCCACTAGGACCCCACCCCCTCAGATGAGGGGCAGAACCAGCTCTCCTAGGCACATGCCATTGGGGCCAACTCTCCCTTGCCTGTGGTGATGGGGAGGTATCAGCTCTCTCATGGTGGATGGGGTCACCTTTCCTGCTGCAGTGTCCAGCGAGGGGCAGGTATCCTGGGGCCGGTGAGGGGGCAGGGCTGAGCCCTGCCCTTGGATTTCAACACAATAGTTCCTATGACCCTCTGTAGTAACATGAGCCATGGACCATCAGCTCAGACCCTGGCTGCTGTTGGGTCATAGACCCAGACATGACCCATTGAAGTAATCTGGGCCCAGATGACACCATAGCCCCATGTGGCTGTACTAGTTGGGATATGGTTTTCAGACACCAACATGGCCACAAGATGTGACCTATACCCCGGGCATGCATGTGGGACTGGCCCTGTGGAATGATATCCACAGGATCCCATTGACTCAGGGCAATAACAGGATGTCTGAGAAGAATTTCAATGAGGGCCCAGTAATGATGGTGTGCCAGAGGCTGGAAGTCTTGAGCCAGACCAATGAATGAGTCATTGAAATGAACATTTTGTGGGTGGGGCTGATTGGACATGGTGTGACACACTGCAGCTCCCAAATGCCACTCAAATGAATGAAGGTGTTGGGAAAAAGGCAGAGTGAGGTGAGTTTTTGTTTTGTTTTGAATTAACTTTGGGTGTCATGCTGGAGGGGTGAGGGGCGGATATGAAGGGGCGGGGAGAAGAGTGGGATTGGGGTGCATGATGTGAAATTTCAAAGAATCAATAAAGGAATATGTTAAAAAGGATTGCTTGTTCACTTTGAATAAGATGATAAAGACAGGGATTATATACACACTGATGATGGTTTAAGTAGCTTTGGTTGTGGTTGCTGTGCAGAGACTTTATAAAACCGGAAAAGATAACTCCAGAAGAACTGGCAAACGCCGGACATCTCTTACAACCAGGAATGTATTCTTCTTTTCTGTGCCTTGATCTATAAACAAGTCTTTCCACATTTCCCTTCCTGTGTTTTCATGGCCATTTTTTTCTCAAAACAATATCTATCACAGAAATTCACATTTCATTGTTATTAGAATGGGGCCCAAACCTTAAAGTTAATTATACCCACAACTGTGTCTTTTGCTCTTCTGTTATCTGGCAGGACAGATATATCCCAGAACCTACAAGATCCATGATTCCCAACAGATGGTGTGGGTCCTAACAGGAAATTCTTTAATGGCAGTGCCTGCTAGCAACAACGTCAAACCCGGTAAGTGACATATGAGGGTACTGTCGCTCTTGAAGAGTCATCAGGTTCACTAAGAGTGGACGTGAGCCTGCAAGTCTTCTGCCATTCCTTACCTGGCCACCAATCTGATGTTCAGAGGAAAGGCAAGGAGAAGAAGATTGTCCCTCTGCTATAAAGAAAAACATAAATATATATATACTTACATACATACGTACATATATATATATAGAGAGAGAGAGAGAGAGAGAGAAATGACAGTCTTCAAATAGAAAAGACTTGTGTCCCACAGTTATTAAATTTCTTTTTAGAATGGCATTTCTTTAAATCCCAACTAGCATCAACTCATATCCATAGATTCAAACTCTCCCATCTTGCCACTGTCAAACTCACCCGCTCTTCTCTTTTGGCATCTTCTTTCCTAATAGTGGTGAAACATTCCTTCTTCCCACCAAAAGGAAATCCACCTCAGCCTTGTCTCACTTCTTTAAAGCTTCCATGTTTTATATAACTTCCCTCTTAACCTTGTCTACCACAGAGAGACTTCTCACATCATATCCCTAGTCTCAATACTAAAACTCCCTCTTTTTTCCCACATTCCATCCCTATACCATTTGTGTTGGCCAGCTTTTCATTAGTATGACAGCCTATCCTCACCACCACCAGAAATAATACTTAGAGGTTGATTTGGGCTAATTAGTTCAGAGTTTTCAGAGCCTTCTGCTGGCTCCATTCCTTTTTATGTCTGTGTCAAGACAGACACATGGTATGGTGGAAAATAACTTCCCTCCTCATAGTAGACAGGAAGTTGAGATGGGAGGTTCCAATCTTCTTGCTTTAAAGGAACATCACTAGTGACCAATTAGGCCCTGTATCAAATAACTCATTCAATTGTGAATTCATTAATGGATTAATCCATTGATGGAGTTAGGACTCTCATGATCTGATTATGTCTCAATAGTGCCTGTGACCAGGTGATGTTTAAGCCTTCAATATATGAAACTTAGACAGGAGTGTTTCATATCTTGCTCTAAGCCAAATCTCCAATGTCCACATAGTACTTTGTCTTAGGTGGGTAGTCAATAAATAGCTGTTGAATGGATTTGTTTTCTGTCCTCTGCCAAATAGATATAGAATGCCCAGACTCTTGGGAATCTCTTCCTAAATTATTGGATAATTAAATTCAGCCAAGACTGATGGACAACTCACACAATGAAAACTTAAATAAGATAGTGGTTTATTTCTTCCATATATATAACCAGTGGGCCAGGATAGGCTGGGTTCCATGTTAGTTCCATAATGCCACCAGAGGCCGAGGATTCTACCTTTCTGCTTCACCAACCTTAAGTTTACCTAAGCTATTGCTTAAGTGTTTGATGTAGGTAACATGATGTGACAAATGAAGTGTTTCCAGGTAAGTCTAGTCTCTTAAGAAACAATTTTAGAAGCACTACAGGGTATTTGCACTCATATATCATGGGCTACAGTAAGTGCATGACTGTATTTAGCTGCAATGGTAGTAGGTAGTAAAATATATTATTTTTTTTTATTTTTGGGAAACAATGTGCCCAGGTGACAACTGAGGTTCTGGTATCAAGAGGAAAAAGGAAACTGGCCTCAGGGAGCAACCAATAATTACTATTATGTGGCTAATATGGGTAGCTTTGATGGGGAAAATGATGATGATGATGATTTGGAGGGTTCACAGGATGGATCAAAAGACGGGATATATTTTGAAACCTGATACTGACCACATTTTCCTTGTGTTTCCAGTCGTCCTTAGCTTGATAGCATGTAGAGACTCAGAATTCCAAGATGCCGCAAAAGGTAATCTAGTTCTCCTGGGGATTGAAAGTAAAAGTCTCTGCCTCTTCTGTGCTGAAATCAGTGGCACACCGACTTTGCAGCTTAAGGTGAGTAACTACAGCTGGTGAGGGAGGTATATACCAGATAGACTTTTATTTAAGGAAGCTTACCAGGTTACAGAATAAAAATGATATCCCTGCAAGTTTTCACTCTTCAGAGTAAGGAAGGAACCCTTACCTAACTGGTCCCCAAATAAGTTACAATGCCACTGAGTAGATACAGCATTTTTTAAAGCCCCAGAGAACAGGATTTAAATGTGAAAATCAGAACATCAAACCCATCATGGAAATGTTTCTGAAAAGTGAAGGAACAGTGGCTTCTTCATCCTTAGTCCTGAGTAATTCCCTCCTAGACATCTCCAGAGATGCTAATATGCCACACCTAGGCAAAGGGTTGGTAATCTGGAGTTTCATAGTACATATGCATATCTGTGTGCTAAAAGAAAAGATGTATAGTTAAAAGTATCATCCCTTGCTTAATGATGGAGATTTTAATGCATAAATTCATTCAGAGGTTGGGTATTCAGGCTGGTTAGCACAAAACTGTAGATGAATGTGTACCAGAAGCCTTCCATCCCTACCCCATTCTCTTCCAGGGAGCACAATGCCTCAAAGAATCAGTAACCCCTTGTATCATGGGACTATGGGAGAAAGCTAGGCTATTTGGAAATTAGTGTGTGCCTGTTTGGATAGTTTTCTATCTTTTCATTTGCCACGTCCCTCCTATTGGGCACAGTGGTTACTCCCATGATATGCACTCAGTGTGCTCAGTTACTATAGCCCCCTCTCCCTGGTCCTCCCCATTAACAAGCCTCTTTCTTACCCTAGAATGTAGACATCATGGAGATGTACAATGTGGACAAAGTACAGAAAGCCTATCTATTCTACCACAGCAAAGAGGGCTCCACTTCTACCTTCCAGTCAGTCTCCTATCCTGGCTGGTTCATAGCGTCCTCTTCCACAGCAAGACAAGCAATCATTCTCACACAGCAGAGGGGTGAAGCTAATAACACCAACTTCTACTTAGAGCCTGAGGATTAAAATCCAGTATGGGCCATATGTGGCTGAGTCCAGGACAAAGAATCAAAGTGGTGGAGAGTCTTTTACTTGAAAACACAACAAGCCATCTTAAAAGACCACTGTATCACCTCTTCTCCAGACATCCGTTTCTGAAGGGTCACTCATCTGAACATCATTCCTGTGTGAAGCCCAAGAATCGCTTTTATCCTTTCTTGATCTTGTCTCACCATCAGCTACCAAGTACAGTCAAGTCATAGTCGCCTTACATCCAACTCTCCCTCCCTGTTCTCACAGAAGCCAATGGTGCAGAGAAGTCAATTCCAAAGAGTCAATGCAAGATTCTTCCTTCTTAACTTTATTATGTTTATTGTAAATATGATAAATACCTAAAAGATAAGTCTCAAGAATAAGGCCATATAAAAGATCATTTTTATCTGTCTTGATGATCATGATATATTCAGAAATTATCAGTTAATAATTTGACACATAGCATACACTTTTATTATGGTGATTGTCAACCTAAGTGAATAAAAAATAAATCCAAATTTCAAAGGGTCATTCACATCAATTTGCATTTCAAACTAATTGTACCGTCTTTAACTTTGTAAAGTGATTGGAAATTATCAGCTCTGATACTTTCTTGTGTTTGCTGGAAATTTAGGAGTGTTTGTGGGATAGTTTTAAGTCAGTTGTTTGTTGTGTGACGGTGTGGTGGTTTGAATAATAATGGCCCCTATAGACTCCTGTTTGAATGCTTCATTACCAGGGAGTGGAACTGTTTGAAAGTATTACAAAGAGTAAGGGGTGTGGCCTTGCTGGAGGAAGTGTGTCACTGGGAGTGGGCTTTGAGGTTTCAAAAGGCCATACCAGGCCCAGAGTCTTTCTTCCAGACTATGGATCAGGATGTATAACTCTCAGCCTCTTCTCCAGCACCATGTCTGCCTGCCTGCCACCATGATTCCTGTCATGATGATTGATAATGGGCTAACCTCTGAAATCCCAATTACACGCTTTCTTTCATAAGAGGTGCCACAGAACAGTGACTGAAACAGAGGGTTACTTTAGCTAAAAGACACATGGATTGCACTAGACTGTGAAATTCTGAATACAAACATGAGCATGATAATCTCTCTTCCTTCAGATCCCAATATGCAAAGCAGTAAATTAGGTCTTGTGATGCTACAAACACATTGCTGAGTTCAAAGTTCTTGGCCAGGTGCGCTTGTCTTGGCATTATCTCCCATAACAACACCACCAGTGATTCTGTTTGGAGTAGTCCTTGAATCCTGCCTTACATCTTACAGCTTACCTCTTAGTCCTGTTATTTCTATGCAACAGGCTTCAAGAAGGTATTATATGCAGTCTCTTAGTTAGGGTTTCTGTTGCTGTGAAGAGACACCATGATCAATTCAGTTTTAATAAAGGAAAACATTTAATTGGGGTGGCTTACAGTTCAAAGGTTCAGTCTATTATTATCATGGAGGGACATGGCAGTATGCAGGCAGACATGGTGCTGGAGAAAGAACAGGACATTCTATATCTTCGATCTGCAGGCAACAGGAAGTATACTGAACTAGGTGTAGCTTGAGCAAAGGAGACCTCAACCTCCCCCCCCCCCAGTGGCTCACTTCCTCCAACAAGGCCACACCTACTCCAGCAAAGCCACATCTCCTAATAGTGCTACTCCCTATGAACTTATGGGGTCAATTATATTCAAACTACCTACCACAGAAGCTTGCTATCTCAGTCACATTGGTCATCTCTTCCTGCTCTCTAGGACATCTGGGGACATACAGTTGCAGGTCCTGCTTAGTGTTCACACATGCACAAACATAGATCTGAGAGAGAGAGCTGTTCTATGAAAAACACTTGAGCAGTGTATGTAGCAGCAGGTCATGGATAACAACTCTCTTCTATCTCTCACCAGCAAAATTCTGTGATGTGCTCCATGTTGCTCCTTAGAAGGTCTCAGCAGGAGTAAGATGGAGTCACAAACACTGAACTGAAAATTTTCTCCCTGTGCTGATCAACCTCATTTTCCTTCTTTAATTCCCCAGCTTCAACTTTTGTTCCCTGGAGTAACTTTTCATCACCACACACGCACAGCTTTACCTCAGGATCTGCCCTGGAAAAGCAGATTCTCTCTTTTTTCTACTATCCTGTGTTGGATTTCTTCTCTCTGTATTTCTGTTAATGTTTTCACATGTGGCTCTAACATATACAACACTGCACAACCCAATTATTATGTCTTCTATTTTTTCAAGTCAGGGTTTCTCTGTATAGCCCTGGCTGACCTGGAACTTGCTCTGTAGACCAGGCTGGCCATGAACTCACAGAGATCTGCTTACCTCTGTCTCCTGAGTGCTGGGGTTAGAGGTGTGTGCCGCCACCACCTGGCCCTGTTAAGTCTTCTTTTTTTCTCCCAACATATTATTTTTATCGATTATTTGGAAATTTCGATCAATGCATCCCAATCACACTTGCCTCCCATTCCACCCAGGTCTACCCTTCTATAATTGTGACCCCCTATAACCAAGTACCATTTGTGTTGCCCATCTACTTATTGGAGCATGGTCAAACTCTCAGTGGCTAGCCCCTTAAAGATAACTGAGTCCTTCCCCATGCCCTCACCAGAAGCCAATAACTGTGAAGAGCCATGCCTCAGCATCTTTATCATAATTTTAAAGGACTTTCCTCATTGGTTTCCTGTCTAGACTCTTTCTGTTTTCTTTGGGAAAGGGGAGAGGTTGTTGCAGAAGATTTAGATGTCTTTCACTCTCAATTATGTGTCTGTGGTCATCAATACCACTGCAATAGATGCTTCCTTGTTTGTAACGGCCAGTGGCAGCATGGATCATGGACTTCTACATGGTTTTCCATGTCTGCATGGACTGCAGGCATCCACACAGTCTCCAATGGCAGCATGGACCATGGATCTCATTCTGGCCTCCAGAGGCAACATGCATCACAGTCATGAACACAGCCCTAGCACTGATCACAAACAACAACAAGGTTTCTGGTGGGAGCATCGGTCATGGACTCAATAAGGTCTCTTGGCTTAACAGGGATCACTGACATCAGCATGGATCCCTGCAGTAACACAAACCATGGACATCAGAATGGTACCCAGTGGCATCACGGATGAGGGACATTAATATGGCCTCAGGTGGCAGCACAGATCAAGGACGTTAATATGGCCTCCAGCAGGAACACAAATCACAAACATCAACATGGCCCCTGGCGGCAGCATGGGCCATGAACAGTGTAAAACCACCTCTGGCAGCAGCACAGACCACTGACGTCAACATGGCCTCCCTGGGTAGCACAGGCCACAGAGGCTGACATGGCCTCTGACAGTAACAGGAACCATGGACATCAACATGGCACCAGGTGATATCTTGGGCTATAGACGTTAACATGGCTTTGGATAGCAACACAGGCATCAATACAGCCTGCTGTGACAGCCCCAACCACAAACAACAACACAGCCTGTGCTGTAGCATGCACCATGTATAGAAACCTGTTCTCTGGTGACAACATGAACCATGGAGGTTTTTGAGAAGGCCCAGTCCAGAAAATGAAGCGTTCTCCATATCTGATATCCTGCCATTGCTCAGAGCCAGGGTAATCACAGGGCTGGGCAGCATGTTCAGGGGCAGAGTCTACGAGGGCTCCAGGCTGTAGCCCACCATTTTGCCTGTCCTACTTGGCAACTACATGCTCCCTGGTCCACAGCAACCATGCTGCCAACACCTGTCACTGCTGCATCTCTGGTTCTGTCTCTCTGTCACATACACGCTGCTCTGTTCCTCCATTCTCCCCACCTCTGCTCTGCATCATTATTTATTGACGTGGCATTGCAAACTGCAGTGTGTGTGTGTGTCACACCATACATACATACATACATGTATTTTTTTTGTCCAAACAGTTTTATATGCAGATAGTCATTATAAGGAGTCATTGGTCTGGTACAAGGTCTCTGGGTTCTGAAACATCATAAATACTGGACTACCACTGGAACTCTTCTTGGATAACCTGCTGTTGCTCAGAGTCAGGGTGATCCTTCAGCTGGGCAGGGTGTCCAGGGACAGAATCCACCAGAGCTCCAGGCTGCTGCTGGCTCATGTGCTATGACTATAGTGCCTGCAGCCCTCACGCAGCAACACAGCAGTAGAGGCTCTATGCTGCAGGTTGGTCAGTTGACCCAAGGTTGTGGCTGAGGATCCTCCCTACAGCTACTCCATGGTCCTGCTGCTGCTGGTGGCCGCCACCATCCCTGGAGGTGCAGCTGTTCTGTCTGATGCTCTTCTTTGAGTTCCTTGCAGCAGGGCAGAGCTCTGGCTGGGGCTTGGGTGACGGCGGCAGCGCCTGTGGCTCCTCAATGCTAACTGCAGGGATGACGGTGGGAGGGAAGGGGCGCTGGCTCAGCTTCTCTCACCTGTGCACCAAGCCCTGAGCCCGGCGTGGCTGCTTCAGGTCATCAGCTATGGCCTGGTGCAGGATACCCAGAGCCGGGAAATATGGAAGAGACTCCTACACTGCGCTTCTTAAGAGAGCTGGCCCAGCTCCTCTTTTGTTTGCTTTGTCCTGCAATGCCCGCCGTGTCTTCTTAACATCCTAAGTCTGAAATGTTTGGAGGTCATGCTTCATTTCCCTAACCAAAGGCAACCCCTTGTCTTCTTTGAAGTCATAGCAATTTTACTTTCTTATGGAAGATTTCTTCTGTTTGACTTTGCACTATCCTTGACTGCGGCGTAACAATTCTTTGGGAAATGTTGCTAAAATAAATTATAACTGCATACTGTGTATCTTACATCAACACTAAAGTTTGCCAGCAAGATCTTACATTGCAGCATTGGGCAGGGGCAACATTTAACTCCTAGTAACGCTAAGTGGATACGAAGCCCCTCAAGGAACATGGAGCTGAAACAAACAGAAAGGTTTCTTAGTAACATCTTACTGCATTTCCTCCTCCACTTTTTCATGATACTTGTGACCCCAGGGAACTGTGGCCATGAAAGGATGTCTACTCACAAAGAGGTGGGCGCAGACAGCACAGAACTGAATATTCCTGGAGAGGCCCCGGGTGCTGCCCCTGCAGTAGTGTTTGCTGCCTGCCTCACAGACTGTTCTGGGTACAGCCAGAGGGTTTGTATTTTGTCCAAGTTACATGCCCTCCATCACATACCTTTAGGAACATGCACAACATCCGAGTGACACAGGAGGAAGAATCCAAAGAACCCATTGAGACATTATTTTTCTAGGGCAGAGCAAGATTGTGGGGACACCAGATCTTGAGCAGAAGCCCACTTCCCCTTCAGCCTGGGAGCAGGCAGCTTTGAGATAATGTTTACTGAAAACAATTCAGTGCTATAAAGCTCTTGATAGGGCTCAGATAAGGGCTCACTCACTGAAACACCATGACTTTGACACCCCCTAAGGCTAGATGCCTCTTCTTGCTCCCTGCTGTGTCTCCCCCCTCCCCTGATTCTGGGGCCGGAGATTAAACCACCAGCCAGGAGGGTGAGAAGGCTGGAAAGAATTG